TCACTGCCCACATGATGACCCGGAAGTGACATCATCACATCTGGGATGTTGGGGCGACGGCCGGGTATTTGGTCAAAAACTCTATGGTAGTGGTAGAAACCAAATTTACCATAGAATTTTTGCCCAAATACCAGAGCGGCACCCTGACGTTCTGGACTTGATGGTGTCACTTCCTGGTCACGTGGGCAGTGGCTTGGACACATTGCTGTTTTCAAGGCAGCTTTGAATACACTACACTATAGGAGAGGCCAGTGTGGCGAATGGACATTCTTCATTCCAGAAGGCCTCAGAGTCCCCCCCTCCCCATAATTGCCACAACATCCAATGGACAATGCAATGGGACTAGGCTTACATTAGGAAACAATGCAAATAAAAAGCTGACTGAAGCACCATAAACAAGGCAGAAAGTGGGTTGCAGAGGTAGAAGACAATGCAGTAGAAGCAAGATGACATCTTCACTAAAAGTTGCAGTAGACTGCAATCCTATTCCCTTATAAAAGCACTCTCTTGCACTGCTCCATCATGCATCACTTTATAAAAATGCCCTCCTAAAAACTTGTTTCGATTCCTCTCTTACCCTTCATTTTTGAACTAGAAATAGTGCCCTCGCAGCCCTGCTTTGTAAGAGAGATGCTGTGGCTGGGTTTTGTGTGGTGCACATGGGACATGCAATTTCACCCTTATGGCTTTTTCCTTCATTTCAATAAGCACATAAGAGCCTTGTTGGATCAGACCAGTGGTTCACCTGGTCCAGCATACTGTTTCACACAGTGGCCAATCAGTTGCTCTGGAGGTAGGGTTGCCAGACACACACCCCCGATGGAGACCCCCACCACCCTACCACCTATCAGCTGGCTGGCAGGGGGAGTTACCCCTAAAAAGAGGGAGATCCATCCGACGTGCAGCAATGTGTCTATGTCACTGCCCACATGATGACCCGGAAGTGACATCATCACATCTGGGACGTTGGGGCGATGGCCGGGTATTTGGGCAAAAACTCTATGGTAGCGGTAGAAACCAAATTTACCATAGAATTTTTGCCCAAATACCAGAGCGGCACCCTGACGTCCTGGACTTGATGGTGTCACTTCCTGGTCACGTGGGCAGTGGCCTGGTCACATTGCTGTTTGTCAGATGGGCCTCCTTGCTGCTCCTGGTAAGTTCCCCCCATCCCCCTACGGTTGCCAGGAGGGACCTGGCCACCCTACCTGGAGGGCCAAGAAGCAGGGCATAGAGGCCATGATGGAATTGGAGAAAGGGTTCCATTAGGAGTTTATACCAGGCCCAGAGAAAAAATGCTTGGGCTTTGGTCATAAACCACTTCTGGGGTATGTGTGAGGGAGGGAGAGAGATATTTTTGTTAAATAATTTATGGCGTTGTTCAAAGACTTTAATTTCAGTCAGCCAAAGAGGGGCTGCTGGGGTGAAGGAATCTAGAGTATTTTGACATCTGTGCCTATACACAGGCTCTGTGAGATCTCTCTGTTGTCCTGCCAAGATCCTTTTTTGTGTTTAAACAGACTAAAAATGACTTAATCCTTTTTAGTTTTGTTTTTAAAATAAATCCCCTTTCCTCCCCAATTAATGCCAGTGAGTGAATGGTGCCCACCTAAGGGCAAGGGAGCTTTGTTAATTTATAACTTTCCTCTTTGCAAGGCCTTGGTGGGAGGAGAGGTGGGAATTATGTTTCAAAAACCAAGGCAAGAGTTGCATTGATGGTTTCTGAATGATATATTATTCCCTGAGATCCAAGCTTTGCTATTGACCTGAAGGTAAGTATGTCTGCCACCCTGAACTGAGGCTAGTTCTTCCTCCTCACAAAAATATTTTTATCACACTAGCCAGATTATGCACTTAATCTAGTAAATGCTGGACAGGTCAGCTATTCATAGTGCACTGAACAGAGAATCCGTATGGTGTAGTGGTTGAAGTGCCAGTCAAAGACTGAGAGACCTGGGTTCAAATTCCTGCTCAGCCATGAAGCTTGTGGGATGACATTGGGTGCCGGTCACTCTCTTTTGGCCTAATCTACCTTGCAGGTTAGGAGCTGCGGTGGCTCAAGTGGTTAAGACGCTGAACTGCAGGCTGGAAGGTTGGTAGTTCAGCAGTTCGAGACCTGAGCGCCGCATGACGGAGTGAGCTCCTGTCTCTGGTTCCAGCTCCTGCCAACCTAGCAGTTCGAAAGCAAGAAATTGCAAGTAGATAAATAGGTACTGCTTTGGTGGGAAGGTGTAACAGCGTTCCGTAAGCCTTGGCATTTAGTCAGGCTGGCCACATGACCACAGAAATGTCTTCAGACAGCGCTGGCTCTTTGGTTTGGAATCGGAGATGAGCACCGCAACCCTAGAGACGGATTCGACTGGCTTTCGAGCAAGGGAATCCTTTACCTTTACCTTGCAGGTTAATTTCTGGTGATTCCTAGGGCGGACTGATGTCACTTCCAGGTTTCCCCCCAAAAGTGGTGTCATGCCATTGCATGTTAGAGATTTTTTTTAAAACCTTATTTTTATCCTACCGTCTGCAGGAGCAGAAGCAGAAATGGTAGCCAGGAGCGGGAGATTCCCTATCCCAGGCGGGAAACTGGCAAACCAACCTCCAGTCAGGGTCTGGAGTTCTCCTGAAATCACAACAGATCTCAAGACTACAGACATGAGGTCCTTGGAGAAAATGGTAGTTCTGGAGGATGGACTCTGTGGCCTCATATCCCCGCTGAGCTCCCTCTCCTCCCCAGATACCACCTTCCCTCAGCGCCACCCCCAAATCTCCAGAAATTTTCCATCCAGGAGCTGGCAACCCTACTTATAGTCATCAATAGGTCAGTCTTCCACAGCTCTGTCCAACTCCCCCTTTTAAATTCACCCCCAGCCACTGGCACACTTGGGCAGTGGGAATTAAATTGTTTCACTTCTCCTTCCTTACCTCACTGGGTTCTGTCAGTTTAAATTTTTTTCTCCCCAGTCCAAATCTGGTTAGGGAAAGTGAGCCAAGCTGGAAGAAAAAAATGTTGGAAAAAAGACTGAATATGTCAAGGTGTGAGATAGGCCAGGGGCTTTAGGCTCCCTCATGAGTGCATGCCGATTTTTCTAAACTACCCCCCACAACTGCTTTAGATGTGAATGGGTGGATACAGGGCTTTTTTTGTAGAAAAAGCCCAGCAGAAACTTATTAGCATAATAGGCTATACCCAACAGCAGGAACTCATTAGCATATTAGGCCACACCCCTGACAGCACAGCTCATTCACATATTAGGCCACACCCCCATATTGCCAGAAGTGTGGTCATCCAGCCACACCCACCTTTTTCTTCTTATTCTTTTTACCTTGTTTGTTGACAAACCCCAGGGCTTTTTTTTTTTTTGAGCAGGAACTCCTTTGCATGTTAGGCCACACACCCCTAATTGTAGCCAATCCTAATGAGCTTCTGCTGTTGGGTGTGGCCTAGTATGCTAATGGGATCCTGCTGGGCGTGGCCAACTTGGGAGCCAGCCGGAACTCTGTTCCTGTGCGTTGCTGCCCAAAAATAGCCCTGGGTGGATATGTATATCTCTCCTATGGTTGCCAGCACTGGGGTTGGGAAATGCCTGGAGATTTTGGGGGTGGAGCCTGAGGAGGGTGGGGGTTGGGGAGGGGAGGGATCTCAGCAGGATATAATGGCACAGAGTCCACCCTCCAAAGCGGCCATTTTCTCCAGGTGAACTGATCTCTGTAGGCTGGAGATCAGTTGTAATAGCAGGAGATCTCCAGCTATCACCTGAAGACTGGCAACCCTAATCCCTCCCTAATCACATTTCGTTTGGTCCTTACTGAGGCAGTAAAGTTGTGTTTGTGCTGTACCACTGCAGACTGTCGATAGTGCCTCACATGGCTGTTTTCTGTATGGGGGGGCCTTTTTAAAAAAACAAGTTAAATAAGTGCAGAAAATTAAAGTTAGGCAAGAGAAACTTGGGATCCAGGAAGTCTGTGGCCTGGTCCATTCATGCAGCAGAAATGGTCAAATCCTGAGGTGGACTGTACCAGTTCAGACTGCAGACACGAAAAGTCAGATCTTTAATGCTCACCCATTTCAGACCCCCCAGCAAATAAGAATTAGCACATCGGGGAGAAATGTGGTAGCTTTGCCCCTTTGCATGCTGTGCTAATTCTCCACTTAAAGGGAATTGTTAGTGGTGGAGAACTTTGAAAAACAGAACCCCTCACCTGTAATCTGAAGTAATGCCAGCCATTCTACCACCTCAGCACTCTGCCATGTAATTACCCTCTCGTTCTGCTGCTCGTCTAGTCTAGGCCTATGATCCTGAGGGACGGAGTTGTACTTTAAGAAATATGGCTCTGTGCCAGCGGGCCATGGTTCAAAACTTTGGACAGTTGGTAGTTTTGATAGTAATGAAGGATTTGAACAAACTGTTGGCCAGAAGTCTGGTGGGTTCTAGACAGGGGGGTGAGGGGAGCACCTGGATATGCATAAGTTGGTTGTGTGAAGGGAGCTATACAATGCTTTTATTCAAGGAAACTGAGGCATGGTTTTGTTGTTTTGTTTGTATTTCAGGTATATTATTCTTGTGGTGCGGAGTTCAGCTCATTGGAAAGAGGTCTTATTTTATCGCCTGGTTTCCCAAACAGTTACTCGTCAGGCAT